GGTTTTTAAAGGGAAAAATTCATCAGGAAGAAATGTTATTAATTTCTACAGGTCTAAATAAAACAGCTCTGAAATATGTTAAGCAAAATTTGATTGAAATACATGAAGAAATGCTTCCTAACATGATCATAAATTTATTTATTATATCACTTACAGAAATGGAAGTACTAAGTTTTTAAAAATAATTAAGGCTTATTTCTTCTGCTGGGGTGAACACAATGGCATTTGTTCTATTAATAATATTTATACCTACATTTATATCACAGATTTAATTTTACATGTGTTAAACATATAAATTAATAAATAAAAATACAGATTAATATAAAACAACAGGAGAATAAAATAACTATCTAGAAAAATATCAAATTTTATAACCGTTTGTATTAATTTTGGCATATTACTAAAATAGATATACACACACTCACACATTAAATACTTGCTTTACGATACAGAGCTTGATCACATTCAAAACTGAACTTTATGAATTAAAATGGAAGAGATCACAAAATACACTGATTACAATGCTACAAAATAAAAAGCTGAATACTAGGATATTGCAAAAATGAATATGTCCATCTAGCCATTTGTAAGCACTCTTTGAAACAGTAATTCTTGTCTAAAAGAGAAAATAAAAATGAAAATTATATGCCACTTAGAAATGAAATGAATTTCAGAACAGTAAAAAGATAAATAAACCAAATTATGATTAAATAAGCTTGAAAAATCAATACAATAAAAAGAAATTAGCTTGAGATTAGTAAACAGTAACAGAAATTAACAAAATATAAAATAAAAAAGACACACTGAAGAAATGATTAAAAGCATAAAGCTGCTTCTTTGATTTAAAAAATAGAAAAAAATAATTGCCAAGTATAATCAGAAAGAGACATAGCCAAAAGCATAAAGATTAATTATATCACTTAGTTCTAGAAGTGAATATGCCCCAAGTTTGTGTTCTGTCTAGATAGATCAGCATACATCAGCTTGTAGGTTTATATCTGTCAGTAGGTGTTAAGTATTTTCTTTGCATTTGTTTCTTCTATGCCTAGTTTAAATTATATAAAGCATAGATGTTAATAGTATGTTAGGTATTATAACATGTAACTTTTTTTCTGATGTGTGTGTGTGTGTGTGTGTGTAGTATTTTCAGTGTGGGTTACAGACCATAAACATCTAGAAACAACACACATAAAGGGGAAAAGTAAACTGTTTCACTTTCACTTGGGTGTGAACATTTTCCACCATAAAAAAAAAAGTGAGAAGAGTGGCATTGTTTTATATTTTTGCAAATCTCCTTAATGTCCAGTTTAATAGAATATAGCTGGTATTTTATATGTGCTCCTGCACTTAATCTGCTGACATAAATAAAATCTGGCCTGACACAGATATAGAGTTAGAAAATGGAGGAGTGTTTTAATAGCCTTTTCAGGTAATTGTCAACATTATCCTTTGATAATACACCAAAAATCAACAAGTAGTAATTTCTTAAAGGTTACTTATAATGTGGAATCTGGCTTTTATCTCTTGAAATCCATTTGTCTGTCTTATACTTTAATATACCCACAGATGATTTTGCAGCATTATGTACTAATTGGAAAATATTGGTTCAGTGAATTAGGCAGATCTTCCATCAACATATTTCATTATATGGTATTATAAAATCACATTCATTAAAATCATCACCAATCTCACCAAAGGAGTAAGTATTGGGAAACTGTCAAGTTCTTGGTGGCAGATAACTTGTTTTTCAATATTCTAATTTTTTTGCTTGAAAGTCAAATTAACAAAATTACTGTCAGTTTTCTTTACTGTTTTAAAAAATCACTTCATTTTTTTTTACAAATGTCTACCAAATATCCAAGTCTGAGTCACCTTATTCAAAATTTGTCAGCTAATCTTTCAAATAAAATTGGTGTCCATAAAAAGGTAGCTGGTTCAGCTCGCAAATCATTGAAGTGCACTTCCTTGAAACAACTTCATACTTCAGCATGAAGGACTTTATGTGTATTTCTCTTTTCATCACGTATAGTTTTTAAAAGATGTGTACATATCAATTTTAGTATCGTGGTTGTGATATTATAGTATCATTTTGTAAGATATTACGATTGGAGTAAATTGAGTAAAGAGTACATGGGATCTCCCTATATAATTTCCTGCAACCGTGTGTGAATCTACAGTTATCTCAAAATTAAAAATATAATTTTATTATTATTTTTTATTTTATTTTTTTGCGGTACGCGGGCCTCTCACTGTTGTGGCCTCTCCCATTGCGGAGCACAGGCTCCGGACGCGCAGGCTCAGTGGCTATGGCTCACGGGCCCAGCCGCTCTGCGGCATGTGGGATCTTCCCAGACCGGGGCCCCTGCATCGGCAGGCAGACCCGTGTCCCCTGCATCGGCAGGCAGACTCTCAACCACTGCACCACCAGGGAAGCCCTAAGAGTATAATTTTAAAATGTACCCAAAGGTCAAGATTTAACAAAATTAATTTTTCATTTTTTATGAAGAACATTCTTAAGTGGAACTTGCATTTTTTTTTTTTAACCACAGTAGGGGGTGGTAAAAAATACAATAATACTAGTAGTACAGTTTGGTGACACTGCCTTGATTCATGCTAGAAGCCCAGCAGTTTTATCCACGATTGTTTCTGCACCATCAATGCAAATTTCAGCACAACAGAAAAAAGCAAGTAATGTCTTAGTGTTATAATGAAATTTGTTTTGACCATGCAGATGACTTGAAAGGGCCCCCAAACATCCTCTGACCATACTTAGGGAACCACTGATCCATAATAATAAATTAGAATTAGAATTAAATGAAACAATTACATTAAAATTTACTGCTACTCCTTTTAAAATGGAACATTTCAATGGTGACCATAACAGGCTTAGCGGATTTGAAGCAATATTCATTGTTTCATACTGTTCATCATCTTTTCTTCAAAATTTTCTGCAGTATAGTCTACTACTTACCATAGGATTGGTAGGATGGGCAATGGTTGCTCTGGGGCACATTTTCTGCCTGTTTTAAACATCTAGAGCTGTCACCTCAGGTTATGAAATATGGGGCAATAGTGGATGGATAGTCCAGACACAGACTGAAAGACAAAACAAAAAAAACCCTCCAAGACTGAGAGGATTCACATATCTGAATACCACGTGGTGTTTGCCTCCTAATCAGTTTCCAAATTTGCACACAGATTTTAATGCTAGGCCCAGGCAGACAACTCAGGTTACCTGTCCTAATTCTGTCTCTTCTGAGAGGTTTTAAGCAGAAGGCCTGATGTGGGTTTAAGAATCAGTAGAGGTAGGCTTGGGCAGGGTCAAAGGATGGGACTTCTTTCTACCTATTTCTCATAACATTTCCAGATCTTTCTGTTTGGTTGCTGCTCCATAGAAATGTTTCCCAGAGTTTAAATCTCTTTGAATCTATTTAAATCTTCATATATCAGCAGTGCTCTATTTTTTCCTGTTGAGAGTTTTAAATAATTTAAGGCAAAATCTTTTATTTTTATGAGGCAATTACACTGAAAACTGAAATATTCCTTCCGAAAGCTAAAAAACTGGTGAAAGGTACATGTTTAATTTTGGAATCTTTATTCTTGTGACATGATTTTATGGAAAAGAGTAATTAAGTCCTAAGACTTAAAGAGATTAAAACTTAAAAGGTATTTTTCTGTTGAGAAAATGTAAGAGCATGAGGCCAGGATTTAACATGGGGAGGGCTAAGAAGGGCAGGCCATGCCAGCTGCTCCATTTAAGATAGTATTTCATAATTTTTCACCAGGTTCTGCTCACTCCACTCAAACTTAGATTTTGAACAAAACTTATGACTCTTACACCTCATATTATTTGAGATAGTGATTCCCTAACTCTAACTCCGTTGGATATCAAGACTTTGGGACCTATGTTTATTTTTTCCCTAACTGAAGGCCAATGACCCAACCACTGAGTATTGTACTTTAAATCCTACATCACCACTTTCTAAATACTCATATACTTTCTCTTATGTTTTCAAATTTATTCTAAATACCTGTACAGAGATAAAAAGATAAGTTATTATACAATTTCTATATTTTCCTGTCTGTTCTTAGAAAACTTATTTTCCAAAGAAAATTTAGTCAAGTTTCATGAAAAAAAACTGGGCCTTGGGACACGACTCTAAATGAATTTGTGGGATACTGCCATTTTCAAAAAGAGTATTCTCAACCAAAAAAGTAGTGTATTTTACAATGGTTGGGAAAATTTAAACCAAATAATTACTAATGGGATGCTGTATGGTAACTCAAAGAAGAATAGAAAGTAATTTCATTTTGTATTTCTGTATATGTGTACATATTTTCTTCATAACACTACATAGTACATTTCTAGTCAATAAAAACATTTTCAGTATGGATTCAACCTCAAAACCAGAGACAGCCCCAGGAAGCAAGCAAAGATACGATATTTCCAAAAATGGACACCGCTTCCCAAACTTAGAGCTAGGATACCTACAATCTTTCTTACCTGTCAGCCTTTTGTATAATAAAACCTTCTACCCAAGCACTATCTCTGTCCCCATGAGTTGGCCATTTTCCAAACTCTCCCTGAAGCTGACTCTGCTGGGTCATGCTCTGTGGAACCAAGATTAAATCAGCCATGGTTTCTGTCTCTTGTTCTCAGAAGGTAAGACAGACATCAAGAGATGGACTCTAGAACTGCTGTTTTTGTAACATCCAGGTTACTGTGGAAGGAGTGTTCAAGTATACTTGGGAAATGATATTGGAATAGTATCAATTCTCTAATTTCAACCTACTTAATAAGTACTCTCTCCATCAAGTTACCTGAGAGACCTTCCACAACCTACCATCCCCACTAGGGAAAGCCAGAGCCCCTGAAAATGGGCCAGCAATTCTCCTTCAGGTGGATTGGAGATGTTCACCCTTACCATTAGTCTCCTGAACACTCCCATCACACATAAGATGTCTCTACTTTAGTGTCTGGCAATGGCTGACATTACTAAAGCTACAGCCCTGGGTGGGACTTCTGGTGTCTCATGCAGTGTGACTATTGGCTAAAGGTTTCATTACTTGTCCACACAAGGTTTCTATCCTGAGTGTGTCCTCTGATGTCTGATGAGGTTTGATTTCCGACTAAAGCCTCGCCCACACTTCCTACAAATATAAGGCTTCTCTCCTGAATGGATCCTCTGATGTCTAATAAGGTGCGACTGCCGGCTAAAGCCTTGCCCACACTCCCTGCATACATGAGGCTTCCCTCCCGAGTGTGCCCTCTGGTGTGTAATGAGAGTTAATTTATCACAAAAGCCTTGTCCACACTCCCTGCACACAAAGGGTATGCTCCCTGAATGTGCCCTCTTGTGCCTAAACAGGTTTGGCTTCTGGCTAAACTTTCTACCACACTCCCTGCATATGAAAGGCTTTTCCCCTGAATGTGTCCTCTGGTGTGAGATGAGGGTTGACTTATCATTAAAGCCTCGCCCACACTCTGTGCATACAAATGGCTTCTCTCCTGAGTGTGTCCTCTGGTGTGTGATGAGGGTTGATTTCCGGGTAAAGGCTCTCCCACACTCCCTGCATACAAATGGCTTCTCCCCTGTGTGTGACCTCTGGTGTTTGTTAAGGTTTGACTTCAGGCTAAAGCACTGCCCACATTCCAGGCACACATAAGGTTTAACCCCTGAGTGCGTCCTCTGGTGTGTCTTGAGGTTTGATTTCCAGCTAAAGTGACGCCCACATTCTGTGCACACATAAGGTTTCTCCCCTGTGTGTGTCCTTAAGTGTCTAATGAGGTGTGACTTCTGGCTAAAGCCTTGCTCACACTCCCTGCAAACATAAGGCTTCTCTCCTGAATGTGTCCTCTTATGTCTGATGAGGTGTGAATGCTGGCGAAAGCCATGTCCACATTCCTTGCAAATGTAAGGCTTCTCCCCAGAGTGTGCCCTCTGGTGTGTGATGAGGTTTGACTTCAGGCTAAAGCTCTGCCCACATTCCTTGCACACATAAGGCTTGACCCCCGAGTGTGTCCTCTGATGTGTGAAGAGGTTTGATTTCCAAGTAAAGCCTCGTCCACACTCCTTGCACACATACAGTTTCTCCCCTGAGTGTGTCCTCTGGTGTGTGATGAGGTTTGACTTCCAAGTAAAGCCTTGTCCACATTCCCTGCACACAAAAGGCTTTTCCCCAGAGTGTGTCCTCTGGTTTTTGATGAGGACTGAAATACTGCTAAAGCTTTCTCCCCACTCAGTGTACATGTAAGGGGTCTCCCCTGTGTGTGTCTTCTGGAGGCTGAGCTGGTTTGACTCCTTGATAAAGCCTAGCCCAAACTCTCCATATTTGATTGCTCCAAATCCTGAGACTTCTAAACCATGTAATATTTTGTCTGTTTCCTCAAGGTTTGTCCTCTGGGCAGGGCTGGGCACTATGTCCACCACTGTGTTGTCCTCCTTGGACCTTACTGGCTGTTCTTCCAGGGTTCTGGAGAATGCCTTTGAAGCGCTGCTTTTACTTACTCTCCCAAAAAAAAGCTTGGAATCTTCTTCTCTCTCTTGAATTTCTGCTTTGTTGCTTGAGCAGGTTTGATCAAAGACTTGCTCCTGCTGCTGTTTCTGATCTTCTGAATATTGTTTCCCTGAATGGAGATGATTTCCTGCACATAAACTTGAGAAAAACTGAGGGAGATGACTGAGCCACACATGTTGGCTGAGGGCTTGCTGACTAGAGAATGCCAGAGGACAGGAGGGACAAGGTTGAATTTCTAGCTTTGATCCT